TCGCCCTGACCTCCTTGGCCCCAATCCGACCCTACCGCTGATAGGCCTGGGACTCCTAAACGGCCTCCATCTCAGTTGCCAGGGTAATCGCTTCTGCCAGGTCGTGGCCTTCATTGCGGAGACGTGGCGCTGCAATTGTTTGTCCCCTAGGGCGCTCTGAAAGGCCTCCACCGCCAGATCTTCACGCGCCTGCGTGGGCAAGGTGGGTTAACTCCGGAGGACTAACCACTGGATGGACCTCCGCCAATGGAGCAGCACCTGCGAAGCAACTCAAAACCGCCGCTCGAAGTGTTCCAGGACGCTCACGTAGTCCCTCCGGGCCTCCGGCGGCAAGTTGGTGCATGCCTACTGGGCCAGTCCACGCAGATGAGAGGCCAAGTACTCCGCCTTTTTGGCCTTGCTCCACCTATTGACGGTGGCCACACTCTCGAAGTGTGTGAGGTAACCCGCCCAGGACGAGCTTCCGTCATACCGGTCCGGAAGTAGCACCGGTCTTCGGTCCTTCTTGTTGGCTCTCCCCGTACGGAGATCCGCCTTGTATGTCTACGTGCAGATGGGGGGGGGATCCGCCTCGTGTGTCTGCGCGTGGATCCGAGGGGGATCCGACTCATACAGACGTGTGCGGATCCCCAAGTGGGGATCCGCCTCTTGAGTTTGTGCGCGGATCCGAAGGAGATCCGCCTTGCGTGTCTGTGCGCGCATGGGGGGGGGGTCCGCCTCGCACAGACACGTGCGGATCCCCGACTGGGGATCTGCCTCATACAGATGCGTTCGGATCCCCGCGTGGGGATCTGCCTTATGTGTCTGTGCGTGGATCCGAGGGGGATCTACCTCACACAGACGCGTGTGGATCCCCAAGTGGGGATCCGCCTCATTTGCCTATGCGTGGATCCGAAGGGGATCCGCCTCATGAGTCTGTACGCGGATCCGAGGGAGATCTGCCTCTTATGTGTGTGTGCGGATTCGTCTCATATGTTTGTGTGCGGATCTGAGGGGGATCTGCCTCATACAAATGCGTGCAGATCCCCGAGCGGGGATCCGCCCTAATCACACCACCCGTCGCAGTTTCGCCGCGTGGGGGCGCCGGCATCTCACTATTTATCCCACAAACTAGCCCGTCTTGAACCCCTTCCCGACGACCATGGCCACGGTGTCACAGCGCTCCAGGCGGTACGTCATGCCAGCCACGTCCCCGGCGCGCGAGGGCGCCCCTGAACCTGCTACGGGCCCGCTAGCTCCCATCAGTTGGCACCAGGGCCCCGCCTCCGCCGCCACGGCCTGGCCACACTTCGAATGGGACCCTTCCTGAGCCACCGTGGCGCCGCACGAGGGCACCCAATATAACAAGCATTTCAAATTTCAGCTATCTTGCGCCAACGCTCCAACCCCGCGGCAGCCGCCCGGCCACGCTCCGAGAGGAAATTTCTTTCGGCCACTACGGTACCGCGAGAGGGCGCCCCTAAGCTGCCACAAGACATGAATGAATTTCTAACCGGCTGGAACGCCTCACCCAATGAGCCCCTACCGCCAGAGGGCGCTCCACGGACGCCGATGATGGGTGTACTAGTGAGGGGTTGGGGAATGTCGCCGGGCGATGCCCCGCCCCCTCCTCAGCGACCTGGGCGAAATGGCTCAAATCCTCCAATGCTCCAATCGGAACCGCACCTTCCTCGCCCCATCGACTTTGGGAGGGGGGAAGTCACCCAGGGACTGCAAAGGCGTGGCCGCATTCTCCAGGGGGCCTAACCCAAATTCCTCCCAAGTTGCACACTCGATGAACTCGGTACCCTTCAATTTCTGCCCCCCCACTCCTGGATAGCTGTTCCATATTCCCCGCAAGGAATGACTCCAGCTCACCCGCCAACCCAGGCGAGTTCCACGTCGCCTTTGCAGTTTGGGCCCTCGACTGCGGGACCCCGCGCTGACTTGTGCTGTTGCTGTTCAGCAAGTCTGGCACCCGACCCAAATCATCCACCAACTCTATGGCACAGAAAAGGCGAAGAGTTTACCCGCTTTTCCTGAATCCAGATAGGGTTCCCACGCTATACAGATACACACAGCTGTCAAGAATCACTCCAGTTAAACACAAATCGCTCTTCCGGGCAAGAATACTCTGTTTTTTTCTCCCGACGTAAAAAAAAAAGTTACGCACACAAGCTCCAGACAGGAGGTGTTTACGCCGAGCTGCGCAGGCGCGAGGCAGGGAAACCGCAGGCCGTTTGCATACCAGCGGAAGCAGCCAGCTAGCTCCCTCCTTGCAGGTCCGAGCTGGTGCCCCACCGGTCGGACCCGCCGGCGCTACATTACATTGCATGTACTTTGTCATTCCATGTGGAGTGGACTTTTTCGAAATGTTGGCTTCATCTATATCTTTGTTTCCATCATCAACTGAGGTGGAACCAAATTAAAATTGTGGCCTAACATTAAACAAGTTGACAATGTTTCTTGAAGAGAAATGGAACTACACTGACGATCGCAGTGATCTCAATTTAATGGCCTAAAATAAACACACTGATACCAAGAAAGTAAAACAGCAGAAAAGAAGCCTACATGCATTTTTAACAAATGCCAGTAGGGGGCTTCCTTTTCCACGAACTTTTGTTGGTTAGTTTCATTAGCTGTGCACTGAGCTGCTACATGTACATGTGATCAAAGTACATAGTAATTTGGAATAGATGGAATGGAAGAGTAATAACGTGACATGTAAAAGCTTGGAATTCCCCTGCTTGTAATGGTTGAACTTAAAAGAAATGTGCAGGTACCGGTACTTCGGTGATTATAATGCTACTTGTAAGTTTCCGCTGCAGCTGAAGAAGGAAACAGGAAACAATTTTTTTTGTCCTGTGACTGCAAAATTATAGAATTCCCCAGACTTTGAGGCCTGCCTTTTGTTGATTATTTTGCATTGTGTTGCTCACCGTAGGAACCAGTATTTCCTCATTCGTTCTTTGTGTTTGCATTTTTTCAAATGGCCATAGCATTACCAAATTTTATGACTTCAATCTAGATTTAATTTTTTTTTCAGAAAAAATGTGCATTGATTACTTGAGTAGTATGGCTGATTCACAAATAGTGAGCCTCCAGGATTTTGCAACGCGTCGACCAATCAGTGTACGAAATCTGTCGGCCCTTTCCAAACATGCACGGGGTCAATAGATTTCGGGCACCGTACCGGTATTTAGCAAACTCGTTGCGAACTCTTGGATGAGCACTATTGTTTAATAGCCTGTATTGTTTTAATTCTTTTATTTGAAAGCCATTCATGGAAAGAAAACTGCTACAAAAATCAAAGAAAGAACATTTTAAATATTGACATAAAAATTAATAATTGAAACATCCTTGGAGCAAAACGCTTCAAGAAAACAACATTTATGTTGGTCATGGCCTAGATCTTTGGTCCAGGTTTAAAGTCTAGTGTGTATGTAAACAAACATAATGCTTGGCTGCATGCAACTTTATTGATAATGAAGGTACAAAACACGGCATTTTGAGGGAAAATCCCGTTCATTTTGAGCTCTAGGACTTCCAAGACTTTACGCAGTTGTAGGCTGTCACTATTGTTTTGTAAACATGATTAATGCACTGGCACAAGGAAGTACATGCAGATCCTTTTGAAATATTCCTGGATGTAGGTTACACATTCCTGAAACACATTCTGCATTGTCATTTACTGGTGCCGCACATGGTAATGGGACTTCAC